CCCTTTAGTTATCCCAATAAAAATATTAACTAAGGTTTGATGATGAGTTTTTGTTCGAACTTTTGAAAAAAGTTTAAAAATATTTATTTTTAAATGGTTGCTCAATTAGGAAATTTTTATGCCTCTCGAGAATTTTATTTTAATTGTGATTAAATTGTATAGCTCTGAAGTTTTTAAAGTTGCCAACTTGAAATACTGGATGTGTGGCTGGAAAAACATTCACAATTGTTAATTCAGGACGTATCTAGGTTTTTCTCGAGGGAAGCTGATTTTTGAATCAAGAAACAAAAAGAATGAAGAATTGCAATATCGGGTGTCTCACAAAAAACTCTAGTTAACAACCATCCAGGAATATTTATTTTGTCACTTTCTCCAAAAGTCTGAACAAAAAGCCATCATCGCGTGAATAAATATTTTGAGGTAGCTTAGGGGGGGTGGGGTTTGTTAATTTCAGTTTTCACATGGGAATTGTTGGCATTACCCATCATTACATCACATTGGAATTAAAGTGATCACCGGGGCATGGGAAGGGACGGGCTTACTTTATGGCACAATGTGACAGTGCGGTTAACGGCGACAATCACTTTATGTAGATGGATTTTCAACATAGCCCCAAGGAATATAGTTCCAAGATTAGTGCAGCTCTCTCCATCTATCACAAAATGAAAGATCGAGAAATAAGAGAGTTACTTTCGAAATTCACCCAGAAAGACAGTGTATATGCTGGTCATTTGGGAGTTGCGTTAATAAACGTAATGGCCATTTTTTCTTTGGTTGTTAGATGATATTTCGGTTTCTTTTTATTAAGAGCAACCGCGACTACTGAACCATTCTTGCGCATAGTTCTAATTATCCGCCACCATTCATGCACACATTTTCTTGTGTTTCTCCATAAAAGTAAGGACTTGAAAACAATATTTTAGTTTTTTGGTGTTGCAGTTTATTCCATCTTCGATTAAAAACAAAAAAAACGTAACCAAGTTAACCACGCTAGGTCTTGATTTTGGTAGTTGGTTATAAGCTTTTTGTATAATCATCCTTTTTTCATTTCCTATTATTTCCCTAAATTATTTATAGCCGTTAATTTTCATTAGTCTTTAATCGACAATATAAAACACATCTATAATGCATCAATCGCTTTTTTATAGTTAAATATAGTCATTACATTGCAAAAATAATTCCATTTCTTTTTTCAATGAAATTGAAATACAAAATTGCAATACTGGTGGTTTTTGCCCATCTATTATCAAAATGGTAGAAGTGCGATTAATAATTTCCTGGTGAATATGGCTCCTTTGACGCCATCGTGACAACAAAGCTCACAAGCGACAAGAGGTAAAGTGGATTGCGACTAGTATAAAAGTTATCCGTAACTTGTTCTTTTGTACGGCAGGAAAAATGGGTAAACTTATGAGGTCAGTTACCATTAGTTCGAAGAGTTTTGAAGCATACTTTTCGTACCAGGGGGCGGATCTAGGATTTTCTCAAGGGGGAGGCGGATTTTCGAAAAATTTTCGAACATTTTGTCTACGTTTTTTTTAGGTCGACCAAGTTGATTTTCCGAATTCTCCCAGGGCACTAAAAAAACATTTCTGCGCCACAGGCAAAAAAAAACGGGCCAAAAAAGGCATTTTTCGGAGAGAAAAAATTCAAAAAAACGCGTTTTTTCGGCGCGCACTCCACCATCAAAGTACGAATATATTGGCGCCGAAAACGTTTTTAGAAAAAATTTAGGGTCAGTCAGCCAAAAAAGGATATCTCTAAATGGTACAAAGGAGAACCCTTTGGGTCGGCAGGGGGTCGAATCCTTGAGAGGGGGGACCCCCCTAAATCCGCCTCTACTCTGAACTATATCTGTGTAATTAAAAAAAGATAAGAAATACTCTTTTGGTTTTTACTTGGTTCATATCTGGATAACGCTTTTTCCCGAATTGTTTTTAAATTAAACAAAAGAATTTATTAATTTTCGAAATTTGAAGGTGGAGTCAAAAAAATCCAAAAGTGAAATTCTTTAAAAAATTAGGGATAGCTCGGAGACACAATGTGCACGGGAGTTCAAATCATTATATAATACTTACAAAAATCTTACAAACAAAATTTCTCAAAAACCGAGAAAAAAAAATCAGTCCTTTATTCAAGTTTTTTCCTCAAAAAAAACACTTCAAGTTCAAATTATTTCGATTTTTTCTCTAAGTTAGTTTAAAAAATTGAGAAAAGTATCATCGGAAGCAACAGATAAAAAAAATTCAATTTAGCAGTCCCCGCTTGAGTTTAGTTTCTACACACCCAGTATGAGTTTTTTTAAAAATTATATGTGACCAGATTTATGAAGGTTTGGGTAGACGGCACTAGCAGAAAAAACCCGAGCAAGCAAAATTATCAAACAATATTAGATCTACTTAAAATTAATTTTCACAAACAATATTGTTAAAAAGTAGATCAAAAACCAATGAAATATACATTAAAAATGAAAAGATTCAAAAAATATAATCACGACCTTCAGAAGCCATTTGAAACAATATGTTCACAAACATTTCGGGCATATGTTATTGCTCCACCTCTTTGCGCAAAAAACCCTGCGTTTGAGCGTTTTTTTTAGCGTATTGAGCGTTTGAGCGTATTTATCAATGGTTATTATTATGATATTCTATCTTTATAAAATATTAAATACTAACCAATCATACTCCATAAAACTAACAACCTATTTATTTGTAAAGTTTTGAAACTACTTGTAGTTTCATCACCAGAACAATTTGAATTAAACTTAGAAGACAGTTGTTCTCATTCTGAAACTCGCGTAAACCGGTGTACACTAGATTTATTGAGACTAGGAGATATAAGAGTAAGATTAAGATCGGTATTAGACTAAGAAGTTGCACGAATCTATCCGGCCGAAAATAAGATAGCGTGACGAGCAGACGGTGTACCTTATCTGAAATTACTCTATGAGTACAGTAACCTATACATAACTCAATATCTTTAAAGTCGTGGTTCGAGGAGCATTAGATAAAAATTCAAAAAAAAAATTTCGCTGTCGAGTAAAAAGCCTAGAAAAAGGTCAGCAAAACCAAGCAAATTTATTAATTGCTCCAAAAGCATGCGAATACCTACTTTTCAAATTTTTCTGCTTATGAGTTTGTCGTCCTATTGGCTTCTTACCAAATGACGACTCTGTGAGGGGAATGCAGGAAGTACAAAGCATTAGACCATTTATTCTCAAAGTTCATAAATTCTCCCTAATCTCTCCGGGTTTTCCCCAGAACAGCAACAAAGGTATAATTATTCGGTCATAATTCCACACTACAGCACCGGCCACAAAGGACATACACACGTGGAAATATAGGGCTTAAACTGTCTACCCTCAATTACAAAATCATTTAGTTCCCTTGTCCCATGTTAGATAAAAGTCGAATTACAGCTAAAAGCTGTTTGAACCCACGAACCAATATTTTCAGACCACCAATTTTCACATTTTGGGCAACTGCGTTGCTTACATGAATAAATGATATTCAAATTCCTTATTCTTTTTTGCAAATAAGACTGAAAGTTCGCTCTATTTTGTACCTGTCAAACTGTTTGAGGCGTTAACAAACTTAAAGCATTTTGTTTTCCCCACATATAGTCGAGTTTGTTGTAACTTTTACCTTGTGGAATTTCTTATTTGTTTTTGGGGCGCTCTAAGTTTGGTGAAAGCGACAGCATTTTTACAACACGCATTAAAAATCCAGTGCAAAGGTTCTATTCCGTAACCGATTTAATTTGCCTGATCTGTATAACAGAAGTTACAATCGGCTTATAGTTTTCAAGAGAAAAGAGATTTAACCAGTTACAGAAATTTGAACCACAACATTATAATTGAATGCTTGTTCTGCACGAACAAATTAAATTGACAAAGACACTTTACTTATTTGACGGTGATTCTGATTCACTTGTGTAAAAGTTAAAAAAATATTTTTTTCTTCGTCTGTGCTTTTTCAAGTTTTAATTTTTGTTTGAAGTTTACTTTATTCGATGCACCGCTTCAAGACTACTGGTTTGTTATTTTCAATCTATGAACAGGACAGGACAAAATTGCTGAATATTTCGAAGCCCTAAATATTCCGACTGCAGTTTAAGTCAATAAAAACGGCGAAATTTTGTTGAAAATTGACACACGCACTCGCACACACTCACACACACACAAACACTTTCAGTAAAATACTAAGTGGTATTTTTTGAGTTCGGCGCAAATCATTAAAAAGAGTAAATTGGTTGCTGAATTCAATTTCGAACGATTTATTGTTCCGACTTTCGTAACGAAAGTAACGGAATATTTGTGCTCGGGTTGGGTTTTTTTCTTTAGACAATTTTCGACTTTTTAACTAGCCATTTTTGACGGAATTTTTTAAATTCATTCGAAAACTATTGTTGTCCTAAGCTTAAATTTGAAAAAATATTTCACTTGTGATCGTTTTTTGTAAAAATATGGGGGTTTAAAGATTGCCATTTTGGCCATTTTGGCCAATTTTTTTCAGATTTATTTTTGTCCCTGCTTACAAGGAAATGTATATGCTCTATGCACCCAAAATGGTACCGCAGTGCAAAATTAGTACCCCGGGCTGACCTCCATAGACCAAAAACGCTAATCATACAATTCCATAACCTAAGTCTATGAAAAAAACTAATCATACAAAATTTATACGTTTTGCTTAAACGAATTCATCGAATTTTCAAAGAACTCTCTCTTGTTTTTGGCATAAAATTTGTTGTATCGTCAGAGGCAAAAAAAAAGAAAATTATTTGTCAAAAAAGCTAATCATATACTTTCCATATATGGAAAATTTATGACAAGCATTTTTTTGAAGGCGAATAATATCGAAGTTGCCCCAAAACTTCGTACGATTGCAAAACGAATTTTATACTCGAATGAACAATTCTAAAAAAAATTGATTTTTTTCTCCATTTTTCATGATTTTTTTTTTCAAAAACGCCTATTTATTTTGTTGGTCATGTTTTGTGTATGCCTTGATCAATGCCTGATTAATTATAAATTCAAATTTAAAAAAAATTACCTTTGAAAACTTTAGCTACAAGTTAAAACGTTGATACTTTCATTCTATCATTTGCTTCAGGCAAAACTAAGCCAACTCGGACCGTTTCCAATGCATTGTAGTTCGAACCTTTGGTGACTCTGCTTTTGAGTAACCAAGGTTTTTGCCACTTGTGTTCGGTTACGAACACAAACCAAAGTTTTGAGAAACTAAAATCAAAAGATAAAAAATTTTGATTTTATGAAAAACGCTAGACAGACAGTTTCCACATAAGAAAAATCACTAGTGATAGAGTTTTTGTGCAACTTTCTGAACTAACATAGAAACGTAGATGATTGGCATTTTTTCATATATGAAACTTGTTTGTTTTCGAATTTTTGTCAGAATTGAATAAATATATTGTTATTTGGTCGAAATAGAGTTCTGGGAGCGCCCGGAAAACCAATATGGTCGGCCTAAAAAAGGTCGACAAAATTTTAGAAATATATTTCAAAATCCGCCCACTCCATTGGGTTCTCATTAAAATTCCAATACTGCAATTGCTCTATGCGTCTGCCGTTTTACCTCTGATCAGAGCTAGAGTACTATCTCAGACTGTAAAAATACTGAATAATAAGTGAATTAAAGACGCTGAAGTTCAGCAAAAAACATTCCGTTCCCAGTTTCGAACCTGAAATGTGATGCTCCACCACGACTCTTATGTTACCTCTATGCACGCCCTGCGGATTATCAACTGACATCTGATCAACAGAACATAATGCATATCACAGTAAATCTTATAGATATATCCATGGTATATTAGAAAGCGGAGAGAAAAATTTCTAAAATGCGATCCAATTCTAAAAAAGCTAAATACTCAAGATCCTGTGAACATAGTTTGCTCAGGTTCGAACATTTCTAATATAAATTTGAATTTTGCTGTATTAATGCTATAGCAGCTCTAATTTGCTTTGTGACTTCAATCAGGGTCGTTGTTTTTTCTCCAGACAAACGTTTATTTTTTCACAAATTTTTATAATTAAAAAAAAATGAAAGATACTCATATATTGCGCAAATGTATAATTTTATATCAATCAGAACGAAAAATCTAACTATTTTTTAAACAAAGCCTTTTCTTTTTTAGTGCGGTGCCAGTGGCTACCAAAGGTTAATGTATATGGTAAAACTGAAGGCAACAAAAGTTGTTTCAATTTGAGCGTTTTTCTTGTTGAGTTTGTAAAAGTTTGAATACTTTTCTCAGGAATAAAACACACCAAGAGCAACTATTTTATTGAACTTTTCAAAAATCGGAGCAAAAACTAATCAATTTTTTTTCTGTAAAAAAAAACTAACTGCAAGTTAAATATCTTATGCCTTAAAATTAAACAAAAATTCCGACTCAACTATCAGACACAAATAATTTTGTACTTGCAAGCGAAAACTTCTCTATAAAAAAAACTAAAATTGTTGACATTTTTTCCTTAACTTTTTTCTTGAAAGTTTTTGAATTGTTTTTTGTTCATCAAAAGCTGCTGTCAGTCCTTTTGAAAAGCAATTTGAAAATTCGGCGCTTATTGATAGAGCAGTTATACAAAGCTGGTGATTCAAACATTTGTTTATGAAAATAACTTATTTTTATTTGAAATTTCCAAATGATAAAGCGACATCAATTGATTGTCGGAAGGTTTTTGACGTCAATATCACAAATGAAAAAAAAAAAAACCGTAAGCATTCCTTTTTCAGAGAAAGAGCATTCATTAATTTTATAAAAAGGAAGTTTTTTGTCTTATCACAGCGTATAGGAACGTGTTTTCATTACTTAATCTGTTGCTTTTTCACGCACCGAAACGAAATTGAAAGCATTAGCTCATTCACTTTTCCTGACAGAAACAAATTTGATAATAGGAGTTTTCACCGGAATTATTGCAACTTAAATTTTGTGATTGATTTAGATTGCGAAGAACTATAGTGACTTATTGAAAATTGAAAGCTGAAATTGTTGGTGTTTGAAACGAAACAAGTGCGTTTTGAAATTACGTCAGCTTACAACATCGAGGTCAAATCGTGAAAAAACGTGCAAGAAGTGTGAAGATCAAGCGTGAAAACTATGGCTGATCACGAGAACCATCATGGCCGCACAAACCATCATGACCACCACCATCACCACCACCCACACGGCCATCGCAAAAAAGACCCGCACGAGGAAATAATTGACGAGCTCTGGTCGACCTACGACAAAGACCACAACAGTCGAATCGACCGGAAAGAGTACGACCAATTCATGAAGGATATCTGCGGGATGGTCGGTCGCAAACTAACGCCTGCATGCTACGACAAATTGTTCAAAAAAGCCGACTCTGATCATAGTGGATATTTGAGCAAGACACAGTTTGCTAAATTGATCAAAGAAAATATAGTTTAAAAACAGTCTCATTTTCTAGAGAATTATATGTAAAAATATCTTCTTTCATTTAAAAACAGAAAATCAAAAAGTTATTCCAAACAAATATTGAAACAATCAAGACTTCAAAATGCGTTGATTTTCTCTGATAACGATTAATAATTAATTTAAATTTGAAATTAAGACTTTTCAGCTTAGCCTAACAAGTATTTTTCTACGGGTCGAATGATCTATCAAGTATGCACCGCACATGAAATTTATGATTATTTGTTGAATGCGTTTTCATTTCTTGTTTGATACCAGCGACCAGTGACGTGCGCAGAAATTTTTCTAGGGGGGGGGCAGTTTTTCAAAAAAAAATTGAAAATTTTCATGCCTTTTTTTAGATAGACCGATTGGACTTCCGCGCTCTCCTAAAATACAATAAGGACCCTGTTTTGTCAAAAATTTTCAGCGCCGCAGGCAAGTTTTCCAAAAAACAGGCGAGAAAAGGCGTTTTTGGGCTTATTTTGGAAAATTTTGACCAAAAAATTGCGTTTTTTCGGAGCGCGCTCCCCCTCAAAATTTCTTCGGAGCGCGCCCGCCATTAAAAAATTTTTGAGGTTGGTCAGTCAAAAATGGATGTCGTAAAGTTATACCAAAGGGTGGACCCTTTGGAAAAATTTGCAACCAGAATTGATGGGGGCACGCTCTTGCCAGCCCCCCCTCCTCGGCACGCTACTGCCAGCGACTACAAACTCAGAAAAACCCAACCAATTTAAGTCTCTGCTGTCAGTTTTGTTTAGAACCAGTCTTTTGTGATTCCAATACCCGGTGTTGGTCCAACGACTTAAAAGGGGAACAAGTGCGAAACTGGACATTTTGAAACCAAATATCAGATCATGTTAACCATTTCACCCTATTATATAATTTTCGAGATCAAAATACCACAAAACTGCTCCTATCAGGGCATTTTTTGCGACTGCATTTTAATTTTTATGGAGCAATTTAATTTAACATAAGTGATAAAGTTTAAAAAAAGGAAAATTTTTTTTCAGTTTTTTTTTGGAAAATCATCGCCCGTACGCTATATAAACAACAAAGAGATATATTTTGCATTTATTCAAGTATTAAACAGACTAAAGTTCATGCCTCCACCCAATTTGACACGTTTTTTATGGCGGATTAAATTTACCCTTATGCGTAAGCAGCACGAAATATATCGCGCGATAGTTGCCCAAATTGGCAATCATTAAACCCCCATAACTCTGTAAAAAAGAATCACAAATGAAACGTTTTTTTTCTGAGCTTGAGCTCAGGACAAAAAAATTTGATTGATAAAAAACTGCATCAAAAATTGTTATTTAAAAAGCCAAAAGTCGGAGAGCAAAAACCACCCTGAGCACAATTATTCCGTCATTTTTTCAAAAATTATCGAAAGATCACAAGACAAGAAGTTAGTGCATGCTTGTCAATATGGCTAACTATTTTTGTGGCAAGCTTAAGAAAGCTTTAAGGCGTGCTAAAATTTACAAATTTTAGTAGATTGTGATTACGTTGGGATTCAGACCCAATTTCTCGGGCAAAGAGGCATAGAAATTTCCACCAACCCAACGGTTGAGACAAAAACATTGCAAGGAAACTCAATATATGGATTTTGTTGTTATGAGAATAAAAAAAATTTTTCCAGAAAAATTCGAACTTAACAACTTTGCCAGGCCATTGCTAGTCGTTCGGGTTATCTATACTGCTGCCCACTTCAATCAAGATATCTAACTGAAGAAAGAAGTCTCAGTAAAACTCGATGAAAATCATTTATAAAAAAATTCTCCGTCGCCTTGACCTTGTTCTGAATTAAGGACTCGACTCTAACTTTATCGTAGAGATAAGGCGAGGCGGAGTCAAGGTTTTGAGACATGTTTCATCTAAAAAGTATATCAAAGCGGTTAGCTTGACTTAAATTTTGAGAAAATTGAAAGCAGCGCAGAAGCTTATTGACTGCCTGCGAACAGAAATTGAATTCCGAAAAGTGCTGTGCAGTTATCATCAGAACATTGACCAATAGTTTTTGTATCCCAAAAGAAAAGTTTCTTAATACTTTATTATCAGAAGCGTTAAGCAGTAAATTTTACTAACAATAGCGTTAATGGTGAATTGTTGGGTAAATTTTGGGTAAGTACGGTCGCAACTTGCCTGTATTGCAACCACGATACCCATTAGAGAAGCATATATTATGTCTTCATTCGTTTTCCGAATAAAAGGCTTCAAAAATTTCGATTCTCTTTAAGTACTTACCGCAAAAGGGGGATTCGCTGAGGTACAAACTTCACATATGCTTAACCATTGGAAATTTTTTTTTAGGGGCGGCCATTTTTTAGTAAGTACCGTTGAGGGTAAATGGTTAAAAAGATCCAAATTTTTTTTCAGTGCAGAAAGTTTTGTCTTAAGCTTGTTATTTAAGATTCAAGTTCAAAAGATTGATACATTGTTGAGCCCAAATTCTTTGCAGGCCTAAGTTTTCTTAAAAACTTTTCAACAGCAATTGAAAAATGTAATACTCGTGCAACAGTTAATTTCTCTTTCGAAGCTAATGTCTGGAAAGAGTAAGTTTGAGTACGTCTGAGTCTGAAAATCGCAAGCAGCACTATGAAGACTGCTCGTATTAAAGCAAGTTCCTGAATTTTCCAACTGCCTTTTAAATCCTATGGAGTAGTTTAAATTAAACTAATTGATGAAATTTTCATTAAAAAATTGAATAAGTATCAATAAAGTTTTTTTTTGAAAACCATCCCGCACACGCTATGTTAAGTGTAAAATAGTATATTTTTCATACAAGAAAGTGTTAAAAAGACCAAGCCTTAATTCAGTTTGGAACAATTTCTGAGAAAGATTAACTATCCGCTAACGCGTTAATAGCACGAAATATATCGCGCCTTGAATCTTGCAGTGACAAAAATGGATAGAACAAATTATCTACAAAAAAAATACGCAGACTTCAAATCTGTTGTAATTTATTATAGTATAGCTTCCCTTATATAATTTTATTAATCAAAAATAATGCATTTTGTTGATCAAAAATTCTACACTGTATATCTTCCTTATATAATCAATACCAAACCACTCTTAAACTGTTTTCTTTTCAGAACCAATTTTCTCGCATATTATATACAGATACTATAGAAATTGTTGTCAGACTATCTAACTTTCATATACAGATTATCTACACATTCTATACTGACCATACAAAGATGTACAAAAACACAAACTATACATAGATTATACACAGATTTTATACATACAACCTGGGAAAACTTTTGAGGGATCTCTTCAAACTTGTAGTTTGAGGCTTAAATTTCATTATAACACTGAGGAAGGTTGTTCCTACTTACAATTTTTTGCTCTAAACCTGAAAAAAATACATTTTAAGTTTTGGATGGTGAAATTTGAGACCGCTAAGACACCTATAGTTTTTAGACATTAAATTCAATTTATTCAGATTTTACACAAAATTTATACAGATTATCTACAGATTAGATACAGATAATCTACAGATTATATACCGGTAAGAACATTATGTAATGACTGTACAGAGATTCTCTTTATAAAACAGAGAAATTGATCATTTTGGCTCTAAAAAAATTATATTATGGTGGAAAAAAAAACAGAATTGGTTGTAGATAAATCGAAATTGTTCTTTTTCTGTTCATAATTTTCTGTCCATAATAGTTTTTTATCCATCTTCTTACTACGGGTGGTCGCAAAGTTGGCAATCTTAAAACCCCGTAAAGTTACTAAAACTGCTCAGTTTTTAAAAAACATTTGAGCCTAAGAAACAAAATTTTTCGAACTATTTGAAACATTTCCGTCACAAATACAAGTTAAGAATTCAAAAATTGTCTGAAAAAAACAAAACCAACCCGAGCACAAAAATTTTGTCAATTTCACTGAAGTAGGCTCAAAGAGATTAATTAAAAAAACAGGAAAATTTAAATTTGAAAGTAGAAACAACATTGCTCGTATTAGAGCAAAGTTTTGATTATTTTGACTACCTTTCAATATCTATTGACCAGTGCTCGTTAGAAACGAAATGATTAACCTTCAAAAAAAATTGAGAAAATTTTGATTAACATCGGAACCCCCCATGCAATGTATTAGGACATATTACCCTAATCCATCTAATCCTCGTCTAAATTGCCCTCCTATGCTCCAACTCCGCCTTTACAATTTTTCCCTATGTTCTAATTTATGCATTGTAATTTATTCAAAACTCAAGTGTGTCGCAATTATTTTTATTCTTTGTTGTTTTAATTATCAAATTATCGTACCAAATAAAGTACCGAATTATCAATTTTAACTTGTACGTATTAATCATTTTGAAACTAGGTTTTAGGTTGTGACGACGCAATTTAACTCTTTGCGTAAAGATTAAATCACAATTAACTAAGTTTTATCCGCATTTTTCACAAATTTAGGGTAGAATGAATGCAAACACTGTTTCATGCTTTCTGTTTTATCTTTCAAAATTGTATAAAAAAACGAGCCAAAAATTTTGTGGATTATAGCAACGCAATTTATTTATTGATATTTATTTATTATTTGATATCACTTTTTGTGATGATCTGGTTTGCTTGCGCAAAGGTCACAGTCACGAAGTTTTCCCTGGTCAATAGTACGCACAAATTTTGGTTCAGAAAACCAAAGAAGATACAAAAATCCAGCAAGTGCCGGTAACCAACTTTCTTTTCTTCGTAACCAACACTATTTATAATGACACTAGAAAGATTAATGTTAAAAATTTCAAAATAAGAAAAAATATAAAAAGTAAATTTCTCTATTTTTATAAAACAACAATTTTGTCGACAAAATGGAGATTGTAAAAAACTTTTTTAGTCATTTGAACAGAAAAAATTAATAAAAGGGTGATCGGAAGACTTTAATTGGAAGCTTGTGTTGTTTTTTCCAGCAAGACAAAACACAATTCAAAATCTTTTGGCAAAAAAAGATGAAAGCTTATTAAAATTTTTGAAAACTGGATTTCAGCAGCTGCTTCATTTTTTGTGTTAGCAAGAAAATCCAACGGCAGTGATTAAAAATCTTGCCCTCTACTGATAAAACACCTGATACTACTAATAAAGACTTTGTGTCGGGGATTGTTTTGCAAACGACATTGTTTTGAAATATCTCGAAGAGTTTAGGCGGAGCTCCGAGATGGAAAAATTTAGAAAAAAATAACCAAAAATAACAAAAATGAAGCTTTAAATAGCAAATTTTGCTGTAATTTTCAAGGATGCCAGGTACAAAAAAAGTTTACTTTCTTTGAACTTTTTAAATTAAAGTTTGAAAAAAAAATTGATGTCAACTTTTTTGCTGCTTTTTCGTGTTTCGAAACAAGCTAGCCATTTTTCTACAATTGTTTCTTTTTGTTTGTCGAGAAAAGTCTGGCCACAATGCATGAAAATCCTGTAATTTTTCTTACAATTTCTCTAATTGCTGACATTTTTTGCCAGGGATATATTTAGCAATCCCAGTACCATTTTCTGCTACTATTTTAACAAAAAATGTTAATAATTTGAATCAAGGATTCTTTGAAAATCCTGTACCATGTTTTGCCGGCATACACGGCAAGTTTTTCTTAAATACTGGCAAAATTTTGTCATTACGAGGCCATGCTGTGCATTCTGCGCATTGTAAGAGGATTTCACAACAGGCCCAAATCGGATTTGTTGTGGAATCCGCAACCTTGCTACATTTCTTTGCTCTTCTTTGCTGTTTTGGATTCCACAAATAAATACCTAAAACACTGTACCGTTCAAAATTGCTCCAAAAATAGCCGAATTTGCGGAATCCGCAACCGTGTTTGCGGAATCCAGAACAGTTTGTAGAATCCACAAATAAATAATGAGACATGTGTATAGCTGGATTGAGCTGTTGCGGAATCGGCAACTGTAATTGGAATCCACAAACTGTAAGTGAAATCCGCAAATTGTAAGTGGAATCCACAAACTGTAGGTGGAATCCGCATTTTGTTTGCGGATTCCGTTTACATATATCTATTTGTAGAAGCGTTCAAAATTATATCTTTTAATTACACCGTTGATCAAGTCCAGTTGCAATGCCAAACATTCTAACTCAATTTCTGTCAAACACCCAACTTCGATCTCAAATCCTGTCGAACATACTCAACTTAACTTCATCTCAGTTTCGACAAACATACGCAACTTCGATCTCATCTCAATTCCTGTCAAATATATCAAGCCCAGCTTCAATCTCACTTCCTACAAAGGTTAACTTCGATCTCAATTCCTACCATCAGTCTCAATTCCTGTAAACTTTTTCATCAGTTCATTTCAAGCCATTCAGTTAAAATAAAAAAGTTTTAATTTAGCCGTTTTGAAATATGTTCAAAATGCGAAACCAGAAAACAGTTTGATAAGGCATCATTTTCAGAACCATATGTTCCTGTTTTTGAGCTTAGAACTTATTTCTGCTGTAATTCATTTTTGGTTATGTTTACCTAATAATAACTTGCTCCAAATAGTTATATAGATCCTTTACTCCCTGTGAACAAAATGCTTTGAATTCACGCTCCCAAATAGTGAATCTCAAATACAAAATCCCAAATACTGAATCTGAATTAATGGATCCCAAATACTGACCTAATACGGCGATATGTCAACCCAATAAGGAATTAACCCAATTACCGAATTAACCCAATGAATTTATTCGATGTTGTGTTCCCAAAACTATGATCCCAAAAACTGCTTGCAAATACTAAAGAGTGACATCCATTGATTTAGTTAACCAATGTTTTAAGATTTTTTCGTGGATTCCGCTGACAATGGTTGAATATTTTCTTTTAAATTCCGCATGTACATATGCAAGTTCAGTAATAAACAAATTTCTGAATTCCTGTACAGTTGGCAGATTCCGCTTAGAAATTGTGCGGATTCCAATTACATTTGCGGATTCAACTTACATTTTGCGGAATCCACTTACAGTTGCAGAATCCAGAACAACTAGCTAGAATTGCTTGGTGCGAAATCCACAACAAATTAAATGTGCCGACAAAATTTATGTTACAAGTATATATACGCGGAATCCACGTAAATCTTGTAAGTGGAAGCCACTTACAGTTTGGAGCATGTTTAAATACTTGTCTCTGGAAACCAGGAACAAACAGACACAAAATTTTGCGCCTATCCAGTGCACAATTTGGCCTCGTAATGGTTGCAAAACATTGCAGGATGTATAACATCTCAATATTTTTTTTAAACTTTCAATCACATTATGATTAAATTTAAAAAATTGCGGTGGACGAGAAGTAGCACAAAAACCTGCTTCTTTTTCCAATCAGTTTGTTAAGCAACTTTGGCTTTGAATGTGTCGTACAACTCAAGTCAATAGCCACAAAAAATGTCAAATGGTGATTGATGCTTTCTGAATTTTTAATAACTTAATAACTGCGTAACCTGAATTGAAATTCATCTAATTCTTAACGTACTAAAAGACTTTTAAGGTATTTTAAGGTACGTTTTGGATGGCTTTGGCCCAAAAAAAGCGTTTTTTGGCAAGAAAATCCCCTTTCTGGCTGTCCCCTAAAATTGTTATATATTAGCTCCGAAGTTAGGTCGCTTTAGTAGTAAATCTAGGAGCAGTCATATCCTATAGGTGGCAAGGAAGAAGAAAAAAGCTCCTAAACTCTTCAAAAATTTGGATCTAATTAGATTTGAAACCACTTAATGAAGTTAATATAGACTTTCAACTGCGGTAAGATTTAAGATTATAAAACAGAATTTGACAACAGGACTGACTGCTTTTCTGATTTGAGAGTAAGTGCAAACCAGCGCCAAACAACTTAACTTGATCATTCAAACCAACGACCTATCGATACTGCGCAAAAAAAATAAAGAACAAATTTAATTTAAAATTATTTTGAAGCGTGTCTTTTTACTGGCGACTCACATAACTATTGATAATTAGTTACTTAGTTCACAACAACCATGTAAAAAAATAATTTTGTTTACCTTTGTTGTCCAGTTTTGTGGCACTTTTCAAGATGTTCAACAACAATCCTCCTGTGTTGAGCGGAACAGATAGATGGACTACAAACTATAAGAACGATTTTCTCCATAATGGTTAGTTTATCTTCAGCAGGGGCGAATATAGAACTTTAAACAGTGGGGGTCGATTTTCCAAAAAAAAACATTGATTTTCCGACCTGTGTCAAAAGCGCGCCCATATTGATTTTCCGACCTGTGTCAAAAGCGTTCCCCATCCAAATTTAGCGTCAATTGCGGCCAAATGCGCCGTTAGTAAAAATAAACGGTTGTTGGACCACAAAGAGATGTCGTAAAATATTACCAAAAGGTTATCCATTGGGTGGTCAAGGGTTCGAAACTCCGAGGAAAGGAAGGTTTACACCCCCTTCGCCCTCTTATCTGCTTCTGATCTTTCGGCCCGTAGTAGCGCTTCATTTAACGCACTTCGTTTTTTTGTAGTTTCAAGTGATTTTGTTCAAATAATTGAGGGTAATTTCAAGACATTTTCATTTATGAGCTGAAATTTGAGATCGGAAGACCCTGACGGGTTTTCCTTTTTTTTTCCAGATCGGATCAAGAAATTTAAAATGACAGTGTTTTGTGTTGTTTCTAAAAGTTAATTTTGACAAAATTCAAATAGTTGAAATCAAGAAGTCATAACATGTTCAAGCCAGAAAGTAGGTTTCATGCGCGGTTATGCTTAGCGGATAACAAGTTGAGAAAATCGAGAAGAACTTAAGAAATAACAAGAAGATTTTTTTTTCTAAAGCAAACACTAATCCATAGACCTAGAGGGCAAACGGAACATTCAGGGCTTACCCGGATACAAACAGTTTTGCTTTACTAGCAATTTGAACGGAATGGTTTTCGTTTAGATTTGTGGTAATGTAAATACTAGCTGTTTAAAAAAATTTTCTGCCATTACTTGCTAATTTATAAACATTAACGTCTAATTGTTGAAATATTAAGATGAACTTCACTAATTTTGCAATTAATTGGTTTTTAATGGGTATTTTTGTCGTGTGTTTTCCATCCAATAATCCAGCATTTTTATGAACACTTTTATCTTACCAATTTTCTCAAAAACATTTTTATTACACGGGTCTTTTCTGTTACACGGCCCAAACTATCAAACTTGTCAATTAGGCCTGTTTGTATTGAAAACGCTGAGAACTATTTTTGCTTTTCATTATACTTTCAACCAAGCATATTTGATAAGCATTATCAAATTTTTTCTATAGATTTGGGCCGCATAACAGAAAAGGTCCGCCAACACTAATAAAACAAGACTGCTCGTATCAGGGCAAAGCCCTGGATGTTCCGACTGCCTTTTGAGGTTTCATGAGCAGTAATAACAAAAAAAGTTAAATATAAAATAAAATGAAATTTTTTTTTTATTTGAAAATTTTTATGAAAATCTACCCCCCACACGCCATATAAAGTACAAAAAGATAGATTTCGCTCCTATCATTATACCAATTATGGCATATAAGCTTTCTTGAACCAATTTGGAACGATTTTTAAGGCGGATTAAATCTCCGCTTACGCGTTAATAGCGCGAAATATATCGCGCGTTAATTGTTCCAAATTTGCCAAAATGGCAATCTTTAAACCCCCATAACTTAACAAAAAATGGTCACAGGTGAAATATCTTTTCAAATTTAAGCTCAGGACAACAATAGATTTTGAATGATATAAAAAAATTCCGTCAAAAATGGCTCGTTAAAAAGTCGAAATTTGTCTGAAGAAAAAAAAACCCACCCCGAGCACAAATATTCCGTTACTTTCATATCGAAAGTCGGAACAATAAGCCACCGCTCCCTAAATTATACTTATCGAAATTGAAGAAAACCATTAGCTATTTTATTTTTAGTTCATGTCCTCTGCACGTCATTGAAGTTTTTCAAATGGAATCTCAAAATCGCTAGAGATGGCTGAGCAAAAAAACGCTTTCTTTTTCTTTTTATTTTGTGTAGAAGTAGCAATAATATTCCATTTGATTTAGTTGGACTGAATCACCTGAGGCTTGCTAATTGTTATGATATTCGAAACGTGAGGTATATTTTTGCCTAGGATGTTTTTTTATTCAGACCGATTTTAAGAAAAATTTACAGCTTGTGGGTATCTATTCGGAAACCATCGGGTTGCCAAGCGGATATGCTTGCACTACAGTAAATGGCGAATGGTTTTGTTTTCCTACTCGTATCTAGTTAATTTAATACGCGAAATATTCATGCGTGGCAAGTTATCCGCTCTCAGAATCGATCCAAATGGAATTGGGGCAAACTAGTTGGTCTTATTGTTAAAGTTATCATACCAAAGGGAGGATCTTTTGGAAAGTTTTGGCAACCAGAATTGAGGGGGAGGGGCGGTCGCAAACCCTGCCCCCGCCCTCGGAAGCTACTGCCTTTCAGGCAGAAATTTTTTGACTGCAATGAAAGAAAAACTCAATTTCATTATTTGAATGAATGGGAATCTTTTTGTAAAGTTACTGAAAGTCGCACGCAATCAATTTTAGCTGACTGTACAACATTAACTCGACAACAAATTTCGACGCGCAAACAAAATGCAATTGGGCTAATACGTGTTGCGTGCATGTCATCTCAAAGAACGCCTAAGAGAGTTTTAATTTTTAATTTATATACAGATTGCTAAATGACACATTAATATGCTACGCGACAAAAATTAGGGTCAAAACATGTGAAAAAAGTGAAGGCGAAACGTTAAGGGTTACTTAAAAACATTTTAAAAATATGTGTAGCCCCCCTTTCCAGGCTCGGTCCGGGCTTCAGTGGGCTTTATTTTGATTTGTATACTTGCTAATTCAGATGTGCGCTTTGTGTCTCCTCGATACCAGCAGAGACCGAAAGAGCAGCCAGCCCCCACCCCCAGACCCACTGGGCGGAGACACTTCCCCAACAGCCAAATAGCCCACTCCTCCCTCAACTTCTCAACCGGAGAACAGTTACCCCCAGGAGTCCTTCTGAGGTAAGAGAAACAAATTAAAACAATCGAATATTTCTACTCTTTTTCCTTTTCTCCCCACGACCACCGATTTTATGATGTAACGAGTGGTTTTACAAGGTTAAATATGAAGACTAAATATGTTTGGCCTAGCCTAATTAGTCCACATGCCAATTTTAATAACGATCGGACAATGAGAACAGTAACTTTACTAGAAAAAAATAGCAGTTGGGGGGGGGAGGAAAAAGAGCCAATATTTCTCCAAATGAACGTTTTTTAAAGCATCATCGCTAACCTGATTCACCTAACAAACACAACATGGTCAGATATTCTGCAATAAGACCTGAAATCTTGGATTTTTTTTTCAAATAGTTTTCTAGACTTCAAGGTAATCTGCATTCTGGAAATATATAAGAAAGAAAACTCTCTTGTTAGAGTGTTGCTTCCATATCTCGATCTCTTGCCGTATGAAGTTACAAAAACGTTTTTGAGCCCATGCATTCAATCGTTCTCATGAGCAGAAATGTAATCACGCAACATTACATAATGACGTGACCTTTTTACTGATTTCCTTATAAGGTCAATCGGAAGTGAAAGTGGAGATCAGTCGGGGTTCAACAGTGGTCCGAACAGTCACTTCGCCTCGCCCGCCGGGTCTCCGAGGAAGGTTGCAAGACTGTCTGGATCTGTGCAGCCTCCATGGGGAGTTCAATTCAGAAATGTGAGCACTGTTGATTTGAGTCTTACTTTGATTTAAAGCTTTCTAAGTGCGGCAAATTTTAATAGAACAGCTTGAGCAAAAATGTGAAACTTTTGACTAAAACCAACCAAAACCATCCTTATTTAAAAGCAAAACAAAAATTAAGACAAAAACTTTTAATCTTGGGGAAAAATCGGAAATTCTTTTATGTCGGAACTTAAAAATTTTCGACGATATTTTAAATAAAGAAGGAAAACCTGTCTAGAAAACCCTTTTGATCCACCTGGCGCAAAATAAAACCTACTAAAGAACTTACCCTTCCTCGTTTGCGACAAAGGAGGTAGTTAAATCTATCCGTTTGACCTTGTATGACCCCCAATTTGGACTGTGTTGCAGGTGGTGCCTATAACGGTGTACCAGAGTAGCAGTCACGCCTCGTGTGGGGCAGTGGGCATGTTGGTCAGACTGCTGGGTTTGAGGGCCAACTACGTGGAGGTCAACATCATGGCTGTCAGTATAGTCAGAGTCACTTTATTCGCGTTCAATTTGGGCAATTTTTGGATTCTTTGAACATTAACAACCCCTGGTTTTGAGGCTTGCTTACTGACGGGAAAATATATTCATAATTACTCATAATTACTCATAATTAATTATAATTTTTTCATAATTACACAGTGAATCATTCAGATTTTGTTGGTCCAATGAATTTCCCGTTTGACATTAGTGGGTGTTTTTGCTGTTTATGGAAGAAAACGAAAAGATTCCTTTTTAGTGGTGCCATAATTCCACTCTAAAACTCGTCAAATTTAAAACTGGGGTATCAAATTTAGTGTCCCTTGACTACCTGACAACTTGTTTATTTTTGATACATAACGAAACGACAGATAATGAAATTATTAGATAAATTGTAAAGTAGTTTTTACCAATATTGTCTTTGTAATAAAACCAAATTCAAATTAAAGAAAGCAGCAAATTGCCTAGCTGGATAATTGCAGCCTTTCTTAGATTTTATTTGTACTGAAACTTCAGGGTGAAGAAAAGTCTGAAAAATTCCGCCAAACTATCAACCCAGCCGGAACACTTCCTGTGATAAACGACGAGGGCTTCAAACTGTCCGAACACAGAGCCATCCTGCGCTACTTAGTGACCAAATATGGGTACAAGAACAACTCTCTCTACCCAGAACACTTACCCACTAGAGCCAGGATAGAATCATGGTTAGATTACGACATCGGGACTCTGAGCCCGGCTGTGAATGAGTTTGTCGGTCCTTCTCTCGTGAGACAGTCCGGAGACGGGAGCCAGAGCAACAGCGAGGAGCGCCAACGAAAATTGGAGGTAGGTTCTAATTATATGAACGAGCTTCTAGGTTCAAATGCAAATCAGATTTAAAAGATCAAGAAATTTTTAATTCATTTTCAAACTGTTTCGTTTTATTTGAAAAATTTTCTACAATTTTGATTATTTGATGTCTGTTAAAACCATATGCTAACCATATACTAAAAATGCAGTGGTAAAGCAGTGCTAAAACGGGGAAATGAAACATATTAAAGCTGATCATTTTTCAGAGATAAAATTTTTACTGTTTTCAGGCTGTGTTGGATCACCTCAATTCCCACCTTCAAGTATCTTCCTACATCTGCGGATCCCAACTGACTCTAGCTGACATCTCTCTAGTGTCCACTCTCGCACTGTTAGATGCGGTTCGATTCCCGCTAGGACCCAACAGGTCTTCTCTGAACGCATGGATGCTACGAATGAAGGGAATTAGACAGTTTCAAGACAGTTTTGGACAGTTTTACGCAATCATGGGGTCCATGAATTGATTGAAAAAACAATTATTCAGCAAGTTAACAACAAAAGCTATGATTATCTCGATTTTTCTATCGCATGTTAATTCTGGATGAAAAATTTTCCTTGACAATTAGTAGTTTATAATGATATATACGGTTTTAACAAACATTCAAAAATGATGCAGATTTTGAATAGTAGTTGAGTGTGGCTGTTGCGTGAATTTCGGCTATTTAATAGAACAGAAATGAATTACTGGGTAAAAATCTAATTACCGTCAACGTTTAGATAAATATCTTTTTCAAAAATAACGATATTTTATAAACTGATAATGATATTTGATTACTTGGTGGATAAGTAATCAATTTTAACTTTCAAGTACATTCGTCAGAAACTTAATTCAACAATAAACATTAAAATGGCCTTCTTCATTCAAAATTTTTGAAACACAGTTTTAATAAAACAAGTCAAGTATGCCTTTGATTTTTTGCATGTGCTTTATGAGAATGTGAGCGGTTCTGTGGGTAAGAGCAGGAACCCCCCAACTATGCGAGAGATCTATGCAAACTACTACTGCTCCCCGCAATAAAACCAGTTCAATCACATAGCACGAAAGCTGAACATTATCACATAAGAATGAACCACGAATTCGGCTGAAAATGTGTGTCAACCATCCTAATTTGACCCATCGAACCCCCACCCCTCACCGCAGTGTAATCAGCAAAACTCAAAAAAGGCAGGATGACAAAACAAAACAAGGACTACCAAAAAAAATTTCGCAAAACAAAAATAAATAACTATTCCAGTAAAACTATAAATTTTTTCACTAGTTTTGTTAGTTTTATAAACACATGGTTAAGACACAGAGAATTAAGAACTGGCAGAAGTCCGTAAATCGCGGTTAGATAAACAAAATTGCGAAGTCTTAGGGATCACGTCCAATCGCAGTTTGGTTGTTGTTTTTTTGCCGATGCTTTTTTTCTGGTTGTTCTGGTTGGCCCTGAAAAAGTTCTAGAGTGAAATAATTCATCAAGAAATATCTTATGATCTGAGGAATGTGAACATATCTAGCAACTAAACTAACTAACTAAACTAAGTGTCACAGTTGCGAATTGATAATGGGATAAAAATGGATTAGTTACGAGTGTTATTCAGCCACCGAACCGCCACCGAATGGCGGTTCGGTGAGGGGTGGCGGTTTGATAAAATGGATTTGTTACGAGCAATTTTGTTTTTGTAGCCGCGAATTACGGACTTCTGCCAGTTCTCCATTCTCTGTGGTCTTAACCATGTGTCTATAAAACTAACAAAAACTAGTGAAACAAATTATAGTTTTACTGGAATAGTTATTTATTTTTCTTTTGCGAAAATTTTTTGGTGGTCCTTGTTTTGTTTTCTCATCCTGCCTTTTTTGAGTTTTGCAGACTAAACTGCTGTGAGGGGTGGCGGTTCGCTGGGTCAAATTAGGATGGGTGAATTGATAATTGGATAAAGTTATCAATCGGCCACCGAACCGCATCGAAGCGTCACCCCTCACCCCAGTTTAGTCAGCAAAACTCAAAAAAGGCAGGATGAGAAAACAAAACAAGCACCACCAAAAAAATTTTCGCAAATAAAAAATAAATAACTATTCCAGTAAAACTATAATTTTTTCACTAGTTTTTGTTAGTTTTAAAAACACATGGTTAAGACCACAGAGAATTGAGAACTGGCAGAAGTCCGTAATTCGCGGCTAGAAAAAAAAAATTGCGAAGTCCTGGGAATCACGTCCAATCGCAGTTTGGTTGTTTTTTATGCCGATGCTTTTTTTTCTGGTTGTTCTAGTTGGCCCTGAAAAAGTTCTAGAGTGAAATAATTCATCAAGAAATATCTTATGATCTGAGGAATGTGAACATATCTAGCAACTAAACTAACTAACTAAACTAAGTGTCACAGTTGCGAATTGATAATGGGATAAAAATGGATTAGTTCCGAGTGTTATTCAGCCACCGAACCGCCACCGAATGGCGGTTCGGTGAGGGGTGGCGGTTTGATAAAATGGATTTGTTACGAGCAATTTTGTTTTTGTAGCCGCGAATTACGGACTTCTGCCAGTTCTCCATTCTCTGTGGTCTTAACCATGTGTCTATAAAACTAACAAAAACTAGTGAAAAAAATTATAGTTTTACTGGAATAGTTATTTATTTTTCTTTTGCGAAAGTTTTTTGGTGGTCCTTGTTTTGTTTTCTCATCCTGCCTTTTTTGAGTTTTGCAGACTAAACTGCGGTGAGGGGTGGCGGTTCGATGGGTCAAATTAGGATGGTTGAATTGATAATTGGATAAAATTATCAATCCGCCACCGAACCGCATCGAACCGTCACCCCTCACCCCAGTTTAGTCAGCAAAACCCAAAAAAGGCAGGATGAGAAAATAAAACAAGCACACCAAAAAAAATTCGCAAAAGAAAAATAAATAACTATTCCAGTAAAACTATAATTTTTTTCACTAGTTTTTGTTAGTTTTAAGACCACAGAGAATTGAGAACTGGCAGAAGTCCGTAATTCGCGGCTAGAAAAACAAAATTGCGAAGTCCTGGGAATCACTTCCAATCGCAGTTTGGTTGTTTTTTATGCCGATGCTTTTTTCTTGTTGTTCTGGTTGGCCCTGAAAAAGTTCTAGAGTGAAAGAATTCATCACGAAGTATCTTATGAGCTGAGGTATGTCAACCTATCTAACTACTGAACTAACTAACTAAACTAAGTGTCACACTTACGAATTGATAATTGGATAAAATTGATTAGTTACGAGTATTAAGAAAGCTTGACAAATACTATAACCTTACAACAGATTTCAGAGAGTGGCAAGACTAATACATTCAGTGTGGTTTACACGGGATTCCTGTCCCGACCTTGAACTGCCAGGTGACTCTCGTATTAAAAACACCAACACAATAGGTTACGGATAATTACAACCGTTTTTTGCGTATCATGTTCCCCCTTTTAAAATTTGGAATATCACTGATATAGAAAACTTAAAACACTATGATTGGAAGGAAGGTTTTCAAATATTCAAACAAGTTTCAGTTTGACTTTATCGATAGTTTCAAATTCACAAGCTTCAATTTTTGCTTATCCTCCTTTTTGACTAATACTTCGAATACTCTCCTTGTTTTTCTAGGAGATGGAGTAGAAGATGAGAGGTGCTCTCTCGAAACAGCTAATGTGTTAGGCGGTGTTTTAGTTGTTGGAGAAGTTGGCTGGTTCTACGAAATTTTTTTCAACTTATGTTTGATCGGGCTGCCAGATAATTGGGTCTGTTTCTTTGACCTTCCTGTTATCCTCAGGGTGTTAAAGCTGTGCCATCGTTAATGTTGTCTGTTTCAGAAGAAGGAGTCTTCGACTGAGGTTTCCGTGGCTTGGACACCTTCGTCTTACACTGTAGCTATAGCTGGCGCGGAGTTGAGAATTGGGTTGGAGTTACCCCTCCATACCTGGATTAGGATAACTTTAGATCGACTATTGCTCTCTTGAACGTCAATGACCTGTTTTCGAAAACGACGGTCTGTCCGACACTCAGGTTTTCACTTTCGTCTTGGGTGCCTCGGAAATTTTTCAGAGAATTATAGGAAGTTGAGCTGCTGGACGTACGAAGGTAGTTTTCAGCAGCAATTTCCCTGGTTGAGGGCGAAGTAGGGCGGAATAACCCTCCGAAGTCCTGTCGCTGTCCTGAACTCCAGGTATCTTGGTTATTTTCTGAGATGGCTGTTTAGAGGAACTCTGTTTGCCTGAAAGATAATTACTGTTAGAAAATTGCTTACTGTTTTTTTCTGGATAACTTTGCCCGATATTGTCGCACATGGGTTTTCCAAAACTTTGACTATTGTTCGTTGGAACGTCTGAATAATTCTTTGCCAGATCTCCTATCGAAACTTTTGCGAAACACTTCTACTTTTGAAGGTTCCGAGAGCAATTACTTATTATGACTACTGTGGGCGTTCGATTTTGTCAGTCTCACTACGGCAGTTCCGAAATTCAAGGTTCCGGAAGTAAAGTTATTTCGGAGAGATGGTGCCAGAATCTGATTTCTGTCCGTCAATGTCTCCAATGCTGCCCAGCCGAGGTCTTGCGTAAAGGAATTTTTTCAAGTCAAACACTCACTTGCCGACTTTGCCTGCTTTGCTAAATTTTGGTAGCAAAAGGTCCCTCATATCTCGTTGACACATCTGTGCTACTGTCTCTTTTCCTGACAATTTTCACCCTCGGTCGCTGTCACTGTTTTTTTTCTCCTTAGTTCGGCTCCGAGGAAACCTTTTTCTTGGTTTCTGTAAGCTAATTAACTGATAATTTAAGTTTTCGTATTTTATCGATCATTCAAAAATTGTTTTGCCAAACTGTAACTCGAATGGGGAAAAGTCATGTTTTTGATTTTAAAAAATTTTGAGTGCGGGTTCAATTCTCCTTAACCTCAGACATGCAAAAATATCCTCGTATTTAAACTTCAGACGAGTTCTTCTTTCTTTGGACGTGAGTCTTTTTCCCCGTCTGGCTTTAGTGTTTTTCGTTGCTTCTTCACTCGCAAACGAAACCTCTGGAATGAGCTTCACCTCCTTCGAAAGCAGTTCAAAGCTATCATTTGTACATGACTCCTTTGAATTATTTGACATCTTATCTGAAATGGAGAGCTACTGGTTAGTTTTTGGATCGGTTGGTCTGATTGGATGAAATTTGACAGTTTTTTACGGTGACAGAGATTTGACAGAAATGATACGAAAGCTGGCCGCGAAATTGACAGTTTTCTTTCTCGGATCTGCTTTCGCTGAAAAAAAATGCTTATATCTGAGTATTTTGCAATTTTATATCTGATTGAATACAATTTCTGGCACATAGTCGGTTGCCTCCTACCGACTGTGGATAATTTAATTCTGCGGAAGCTGATTAGTTAAAATCTTTAGTGAGTCTTTTCACGCCC